GTTCTCAGCCTGTAAGATTGTATATCCTGCTGCACAAATAGAAGGGAAAGTGAAATTAGTCTTTTGATTGTTCCAAACTAACCTCTACAGTCCAGAGATATAACTGACCTTTGAAAGATGGTGTCTGCTTCAATGGATTTTCCAGAGCCTAGCACTTTGGGTACATCCCCAAAGTGAGGTCTCCAAAAAGAGCTGGTACCTGACTTTAGTTCAATCTCAGTTTTGAAAGTATTTTGTTCTCCTCTGTTAATACAAAATGTTAATAATACCTCTGTTAATGCAACTCTTAATCATCTTGGGTAACCCTGAAGATTTCAAGTATACAATATATTGCTCAGTTAAATTCCTTAAATTCCCTTTTATCTAGGAAATGAAACTATTGGGTAGCAGGATGTTAGATAAAGACACTTATTCTGCTAGATATCCACTCCTCAAACAGAAGTTTTGATCCAATATTCAAAAAGACAGAAGGTCTTGTATCTCAGGAACAAAAAAAGTCACTTGCTGATTCTCAATCTTCCCTTAATCCTTTAAATTCCCGAGGAAAGCAAAACCATGCACGCATACCATTGTTCATAGCAAACCAGTCACAACTATCAGAAACAAAGAAATAAAGAAACAAACAACAAAAAATGGCAGAAGAACAAAGAAGACACTGAAGTGCTTCAGTGGTGTGTAGAGATCAGGTTGTAACGTCTGTTCCCACAGATCACTGAGAACAATGTCAGGACTGGGACTGTGATCAGCTGTTACCAAACTGCAGCATATCAGCAGACAGGGGGGACAATCTGGTTTGGGACTAGGCACAGGCACATAATCAGTATCTGAAATTTATCAGAAACACAATATGGTGGTTATGCTAACTTAACACTTAATGACTTGACCTCAGGTTATTGTGATAGCGAAGACAATATCTAACAGAAAATCTGGTAGAACAAAACACTTTTTTAAAAAATATTTGAACAAAGTAGTCATCACCCTGCTTCTTACAACGGCATTTATGACCCATAGTAGGATTCTGAATTCACCTTTTGGGTGCTAGCAGTGAATTTACACTTTTGGTGAACCATGGTGACAGTAAAAGTTCTATTTGACCTTCAGTATACTGAGACTTTTAAAAATCTGTAAGTCTTGATATACTGCACAACCTTGTCAAAAGAGCTGGATATATATTGTACTTTATAAGATGAGTAACCCAGAAGCAGATTCTCATGCAGTAATGAGAACCACATTCCTTGAACCACAGGAATTTTTTTCTGTTTCAAAGAGCTAGAGAGGTGAAAATTAGGTTTATTGCTTAATCATATCAGAATTTTTCATTAGAGTTCTTTTAAATTCTGCTATTTTTATTAATTTTCCTAGGTTATACTGTAGTTCTGTAGCCCTTCTATATATATACTAGTGTAGAAGCCATGTTTTACCTTTCCTCTTCTCTAGCATTTAGAAAGCTGACAAAGATCTGTACACGAGTTCAATTAAAAGTACTCTGGCATGAAAAGTGGTGCATTTTCACAGAGACTTGGTGAACTCAGTAAGGGTGAAAGCTCAGTGTTTTCAATCTTGTAGAGTGATTTTAGATAATCTTCTTTGCTTGTTTTCTGAAAGTACAACTGAGAATAAAAGTACCAAACAATCAGAGGAACAGTTAGTTCTTTTGTAAAATACCTTGCAACCGTGAGAATTGGTAATAGAATTTCTTTCCCTCTCCCCCCCCTCCCCAACTCAGTTCTTACGCAGGAGAGAAAACAAAGCTAGGGAAATGCCATCCTGAAATACCATGATCCACTATCTGTAAGTTACTAATATGCGTAGCTTCTTTTTAGCAGTACAAGAGTTTCAAGAAAACCACTCCTTTGTGCAGATTATATTTAAGGGTTGATCAAGGAGAGGAAAGAATAGAAAAAAAATAAAGGTTTTTTCACTGAGTCTGTTTTTAATAGAAATCACTGTGAGGGGAGGAAGGTGAGTTAAAAAAAAAGGATGTCAAAAAGGTTAGACAAATTGAGATGTTTACTTGCATGATCCATCCTTTTGTACACTAATCTTTAGATTGAATATGTATTCAAATTTTTTCTTGATGATGAAAAAAAACAAAAGAAGAAAGAGAGATAATTTTAGGAAATTAGCTCAAAAAAGGAAATACCCCGGTTCATCTAGGGACATAGTTTCCTGCTGTTGAATGAATGCATCTTGTTTCTGGGCCTCAGTATGTTAACTCAGTGGGAGACAACAACAATAACAACAAATCAAAGTTTCTAATTTGCTTTGGGATGTTAAAATTTAAAAGTTGCTTTTCATAACATGCACATGGCCTGATAAGATTGATCCAATGTTTTGCTTTATAATTGAATTTTGCTTGATATATTCAGTGGTTCAATTCACTGATCTTTATGTAGAGCACTGCCTTTTTAAGATGTGAATTTTATGTAATTATATGTAAGCAGCAATTTAATTTACTTCACTTCTTTTATAGCTTTAAATCTAAGAGGCTGTAAAGAAAATAAGCTTTGCTCTTTATATAAAAGCCCAGATTTATAAATAATCTATTATATTTTTTCTAGTTATAGCAGACCAAATTATCAATGAAGCAGAGCAGGTACTGGAACTCTGTATTATCAGCAGTATTTTAGGCAGCTCAATAGAAACCTGTCAGAAAAACAATGATATTAATGCATCCCTATGTGCAGCACATCACTCATTTCTTTCAGTACCACATTCACAGCCTGAGTGGGATGCAACACACGGCTAGATGGAAACCTATTGTCGTAAAAGGAGACGCTCACTATGTAATACTTTAAATTTCCAGGCTACACCACTACAAGTGGAAAAGGTAATATTTTAAATTTCCGCAGTGGAGAATTAAAAATTAAAGCATTCATACTCCTTGTCCTTTCTTCATTAAAACCTTCTTCATTCACAGACTTCTATTCTTCTTGGCCCATCAACTTTCACCAGCTTTATTTCCAGTTCAGCCTTTGAATTCCAGAGGGAGAGTAACTCAGGAACAACCAGAGCTGGACAAACAGAACATGGACACATTTTGGGGATGAGTCTGCATGTAATAGCACTATACATACAATAACATGCCCAGTTTCTTCAAAATTCGCCCCACTCCCCAGTAAGCACAGAAGCTGTCTGTGAGCAGATCTTTTGTAGCATCTTCTCTGCTTATGGAATCCAAGAAGAAAATAGAATTACATTTTTTATCATAGAAGGTGAAAATGTAAGATAACAACTTTGCCTGTATACTTGCAATTCAATAGTTTGTCATACAAATTGTCTATCATTTCCAAAACAATGCCAGCCATTCCCTTCCTTAGTTTAGAGATAAAAATTCTAAAGGACAACAATACTGAAGGAATTACAAGTGTTGTTTAATATTCGTATTCAGTTCATCACTGGCTGAATCTTATCCTATATTCTACAGTTGCAGAAGGGTCCAGATGTTCAGATCTATTATCCTCTTATTAAAACAATTACCAGGAAATTATAAACTCCTGGTTAAAGATTTTTTCTCTTTGACTAGTGGTATTAAAATGTTACCATTTTTTCCTTTTATTTGACATGAGAGGGAGAGCTAGCTGACTTTACCTGTCAAGAAAAGAAAAACGCTATTAAAAACAAGCTCTTGCTGACTTCCCTTAGAGAGTAACCCAGCTTCATTTTTATTGTTATCTCCTGAAGGTCTTCAGCAATTTTTCCCACAGGCTTTTCAGGAAAGGAGCAAAATGTAGTCTTGATTCTTTTTGTCAATTTATGACTTCACTTGTTATTCGATTTCTTTTTTAACCTTTTGTATTATGGCTTTTGTTTCAGCTCACAACAATAGAAGGGGAGAAGAAAAGGTAAGAGGTCGGATTGCAAATCTTGTGAGTATTGTGAGGCTTCAATTCAATGCACAAGGGTGTCCTTAAAAGTATATCTGGGTTGTTTCATGTTTTTCTGTCTGTAGTATCCTGTAAAAGTCAGTAGGAAAGTAGTGATTTTTCACTCACAGCTTTCAGGTGGGAATAAAAGCACAAGATAAAATTGCAAATGTTAATTCAGCCAACATTAAAAAAAAAAAAAATTAAATGAGAATTACAGATTGAAACCAGAAGTTTTCACTACATGCATACAGCAAAATATGTTTTAAATGGTAACATGACGTGTCAAGACAGAAATGTAATTTTAGAAAGATGCAAATTTTCTTTGCTAGGACTTTGATAGAAACATTACTGGTTCTCCATACGGCTATCCATTCAATAAATCATATACTTATGTAAAAATATGCCTTTTTATGGGGAAGTAATACTACTCTCATGCTTTAATTTGATTAATTTTTTTGTTGCTATGATGGGCAGAAAGGGTAAAATAACATTCTGATGAAAATGCTGCCAAGATATTGTTCCCAGATGGAATAAAAGGCCTATAATACAAATCGTCCCATCACTCTGCTACTGAATGATTATTTATTATCATTAATTCCTCCTGTCAATGCTTCAGCAACCTGCTCACCTGAGTCCACTCGGGGGAGGGGAGGAGAGGGGCAGTACCTGAAAGAAGTTGAAGTAATATTGCTTATTTATTAGGTCTTATCCTGAAACTGTGAGGTAACAATACCATACAGACTGAAACTCTACTTTTTACACTATGTGAATTCTTTCAGAAAGACTTTGCAGAGTGAAACTCCTTATTTTCATACACTGCAAATTATAGGCGCTTGCCATGCCATTGTGAGCAAATGAAAATGCATAAAACTACTCCTTTATGAGTCAATAAAAAATACCTAAAATATACTGATTTTTGTTTAGTATTATCTTAAACTTCATGCCAGCATGGTAGGAAGCAGAATAGAGACTCTGAATTCTACAGGTGAGTTAATTAGAAGTTGTTATGCAGTAGGCTGGAACAGATGTTTTTGATGCAATCCGCTCCAGTAGGTACACGTGTGAAAAGAGTTGTAGATTTTAGAAGGATATATTCATTTTCTGTAGCTACATGAGATATGTGCTGTGCTCTACTTCTGCCTAGTGCTGTGATCTTCATTAATTTGCATTCTTGACTGCATTCTGTGCTAAAAATAACAAGTCCCAGGACAGATAAAGCTTGTAGAGAGACTTGACAATTGGTTAGATCTAATTATTATATTAAAATGTTAAAATTCACCTCATTACCCAATATACTTGCCTCAATTATTTATCCCATTAACCTGAGGCTAAAGATGCTGCATATGATACCAGTTTCTCTAGAGGTTAATCTCAATGGATCTTTGTCAAGGTTAAAGGCTTGTTGCAGGACAGACTGCAGTAATGCAACTTTTAGTAACAGCTTGTCACATTTTCTGTATTATGGAATTTAAACCTCAGAATACACTATTAAAAATAAATGTGTATTTTAATATAATTTTAAGTATTTTTAAATGCTCAGTGGTACGGAGTTATCATATAGGAAAATTTAGTCAGTGGAGCAGGAAGGTTAGCAAATATGTTCTGTGGATTTGTTGCACAGTGGTAATTCTACCCTATTAGGCCCCTCTCTCACCAACTTTTGTTTTAGGGTGAGGATCACACAAAAATCGGAGGAGAAAGGAACTAACTTCTCAGGTTTTAACCTGCCCCATCCTTAAATGATCCCTGGGAGAGCACTTCTTTTTTGCCCACAAAATATAAGGAGTATAAGGAGATTAATTTCCTAATTTGGCTGGCCAAGTTAGATACCTGAAATTTGTTGGAATAAATGCTACTCAGGCTTTCAAGAAATCATTCCAACACCACTAGTTTCCTATAGCCATTTATATTCAGAAATAAGCAGCCTAAACGTCCCTGCATCATTCAATGCCTCATTCATGAATAGGGACATCTCCTTCTCTGGCATCTCCTTTGTTGCATGTACCAGGAGGAGAAGAGTTACTGTTGTCCCACGGTCAGGCCATCCCTCAACAAACCTTCCTCCCTGAGATAAGGATATCAGCTGCTGCCTCCCTTCAACACCTCCCGGAGCCCAGGCAGCCTTTTCCAAATGACACTGCTAATGCAGCAGCTGAATCACATACTAAAAATGACAGGATGACCTCACCTAAAAGAAATAAAATGTTTTTTGTTTTTTTTTTTTTTCTATATCTAAGACTCTATACATTCAAAAATTCTGAGTTTGGTTAGAAGGAGTGGGTATTTGCTGACACCATTAGACCAGGAGTGGGCATCAATATGGTGACACCAAGATGCTTGATAGGTCTGCCCAGGTGTTCCTTAATGTGCAGGAGAAGCATCCCCTGCGCAAGCTTTGTCCTCCAGACCACAGATGCTGGTTTGACTCTTGTAGTGTGGTCAGAACAACAGGTTTGGTTGGCTGTCCCCACGTAGGCAGTCTACTCAGTGGGTACCCCCAGATAACCTCAGTCACATGTTTTATATACCTGACTCTTCTTCCACCACAGTACATGTCTCCTCCCAGATAACCAATCCCCCTCATGACTTTTTCCCCATTGATCTCATTTTTTTGTACATCCATATCCAAATTTTGTATTTTTGGTACTATTACCCAGATCATCTCAGACTTATATGTGTCTTTTACTGATAGGGTTACCCGGGCTCTGCTGGCCTTGCAAGGCTCTGCTCCTCAAAAGATCCCTAATCTTCCCATGCAGTTATCTTTGAAGTTTGACCATTTTTTACCTTTATGTACCTGTGCAACCCATCCCTAATGGCGCTATCTGTAATTTTGGTCAGCTTCTCATATCTTTATCTACCACTTCCAATGATTTGCCATGTTCTCTCCAGTATTTTTCCATGTCCTGTTTAGTGAGCCTTAACCTCAGACCAGGGTCTTGTTGGTGGTCTAGTCATTTATCTGCAGCCCTAGCAAGGTCTAAATTAAAATTCCATTGAATGGAAGGAGAAGCGTGTGGATCAGCTTTTGTGTTCAAAAGTCACTTTAATGTCTAGAAAGCAATATAAAAGTAATAAATACCTTTAATTAATTGATTTGAGATAGGAGGAAAGAGAAACATTGGCAATCCTTTCTATACACAATTGGAATCCCAGTTGTAATTTCCTTTCAAAATAGCAGAGAAGAAGTAGAAACTGAAGAAGAAGAGAAGAAAGAAGAAGAGAAAGAAGGAAAAAGAAAAAAGAAAAAAGGAGAATGGAGAAAGAAGGAAAGAAGAAAGAAGATAAATACTGTGAAAACTTAGAAAAAAGAGACAGGAATGAGAATGTTTCTGCTCAGGAGCTAGGAAAGAAATTTTCTAGTTTACCTCTAGATGCATAATAAGTTAAGTTAGTACACTTTTCTGCCCACTTGCTGCATCTACAAGCAACAAATTGAGTGTTTTACGGATAGCTATACAGTTAATAATTTCTTCCATGCCTCTCTTGTCTTGCTAAATAATTCAAGTCTATTTATGTAAAAAGGCATTTCTTGTAGTGAAGGATAGAAATTGTTGCAATAAGTGGTGGCCTGATTTCATTATCCTCTGTTAATTTATTTATAACAGAGACAAAAAAGATGTCTGTTAGGTAATATGATTAAAGGCTCATCCCCGCACACAGGGGCAGGGAGGTGGCAGGCAGGAGGGGGAGCCCCCGTCCCCCCTCGGGAGCCCGCAGAACTCCTGCCCCAGACCCCCCTGGGGCGTCCCAGGAGCCACCAGCCCTGGGGTCGGGGGACACCCACCGCCGTGCGCTGCAGGAGAAACCCCGGGCGCCACATGGATGGGGATCGCCCCTGGGATGGAGACACACACACACACACACACACACACACACACACACACACACACACACACACACACACACACACACACACACACACACACACACACACACACACACACACACACACACACACACACACACACACACACACACACACACACACACACACACACACACACACACACACACACACACACACACACACACACACACACACACACACACACACACACACACACACACACACACACACACACACACACACACACACACACACACACACACACACACACACACACACACACACACACACACAC